TCTTTAGCACAGCTGTGCGCCTCATAGGGCGCATTCTTCCCAGCCACGGGGGCCCCCCCCCTGGATCAAATCCCCCTGCGCCGGTTCACGCGGTCGTGGACTTCTACCAGGGTTACTTGTGATTGCCTGCTACCTTTCGTTCACCCCCTCCTCTCTCAAGTGTAATCGGGCCTTTCCGTCAATGAATGATCATATACAGATACATGCATGGGCACCAACAACATAGGGGTCACGCCCCCAGCTTCTTAGAGTCCATAGTGAGATGATCAACTTGAAACATTTTATATCATACTGTTACTATATTGTCATTATTTGTCGAAAGATGTTGGATGCAGGAAACATAATTACGGAAACCTCACCTGCATACTTTACTTGGTGCATGGACCGTCTTGAACGCACACAGGTGACCCACATCCCACATAAAGCCGCCCACACCGGGCCGCCCACAGCGAGGCACTCCTTGACGCCCCACGCGCGCACCACGGGGGGCTATGAGTCGGAAATGCCCGAGGAGGCAGCGATCGGTTCGAAGGGATTGGTGGTGACCTGCCGATTGGTGCGCAAACAGGAAAAATTGATGCGGTATTTTTGTGACAGGATGTGCACCAAAGAGTCAATGGCTCTCGTAACTGCACCTTATGGCAGTTGAAGGTTTGAGCTCTGTAGATGGCTTTTAGAACTCCATATTGGACCAACAGTTGGGAGTATGGCTCGCCACTAGATTTTTGGGTGGGTGCACATGTCAGATCGACCAACACTTGGAATGTGTACAATGCGGTGCTAACAAGTCAAGCAGTAAAAATGGTTGCCACGTCATGTCAAATAGCATTATGCAACATTTGCTAAACTCAGATGGCCAGCTTATATAGGTGAAATATGGCTCCCAAATTGCATTCATTAATAGCTGAGAGAGCCGGGTTTGGGGAGGAAATGCCTGCCGCACAATTCCTGGTCGCAGAGCTGGCTCAAGAAAATCGTATTAATGCGTCCTGATTTGGGTGGTCTGGAAAAAGCGAATGTTTTTTTCAGCTTGGAAGAACAAACTACCAATACTCAAAGAAAAGCACTCTCGCTAGTTTAGTCTAGGTCCTTACCCAGCATCATCGAAGGAATATTTGTCATCATGGGGTCACCTGAGGCAGACAGGCATCGAGCATCGTCAAACCAACACTGCAGTGTCCGGCAGCAACATGAGCTTGCAGGTTCTTGCCGTTTGTTTTTGTGTGCGCCCCGAGGGCACAATAAAAGAACCAAGAATATGCAAGTTCACCATGCATCACTTGGAACAGTTTTGACTTCATCATGGACAAGCGCGAGGCAAAGCTTCTCTTCGAGCGCTGTTTCCCGCGATTTGTGGAAGCAGGCTTGCAGGCAGTCAGTGAAATCACGGATGTCAAAGTGAAGGAGATCGCTTCGCTCTGGGCTGGCATGGGCCGCTTGGCAACTGCCTGTGCACCTGACGCACTCGATAGGGCTTTGTGTCCTCGTTTTCGTCGGGCAGGTGGTGTGGTACCACCTGGAAGTGACATTTGGAAGAGTAGTTGCTCCTGAGAAGCCTTGCAGTTGTTCAAGATATGGTTTTGGGGGGTCCATTGGTTTTGGTGGCACGGTGGACCGACGGTGGATGCTTGGATTGAAGGCTGCCCCAAAACGTCAAAACGTCGCCGGCGATTACTGCAAGTCTATGGTAGCCTATTGTAGCCTATAAAATGGCTAGACATGACATGTGAAGACAATTGTACGACACATTGGCCACCATTTTTCAGATTGTTATTCTGCCCGATCAGGTAGTGTGTACCGGATCACCGCTACTGGTGCCAAGATCAAGCCGTGCCTTGCATGCAACTGAGATTATCGTTGGCTGTGCTGCACCCTTCAAAACGATGAGGGAGGTTTCTTCTTCACGGCGCGACTTCCAAGGCAACCCCGGTAGTATTTGGATTTGGGATAGGTAGGGACCTGCAAGGCTGTTCACTACTCGTTGACTTCCATGTCCACGAAGCGGGACACCTTGTTTGAGACCAATCCAATCAGCCATCCATCGATCAATCAGCCAGCTTCTTTGGGATTCACTGTGCTGTGGACTGTGTGGCTACCCACGCGCAAACCGATATAAATCCCCAGAGCATCCAAGCACATCCAAAAAACATGCAGCTTCCGCAAGCATGTGGAGGTGTGCAGAGATCACATGAACTCGCCCAGCGAAAAATCCTTTGATCCAGGTTGCTTGCTGGACCGTACTCGACTGTGCACCCGGGCGTTTCGTCTCAGACTGTGCACCTCGACACGTCGACAACGACACGTCGACACGACAGGCAAAGCATTGTGGCGAAGAGAGTTCAACTCCCCAAGCACTGTGATAGCATTGGCGATCAGCGGAAGAAGGTGGGACCCACTAGCTTAGCCGCATCTATATAGCGGGTGGGTGCGAGTGGGCCGGTGATGTGCCATGACATGCGAGTGGGCCTGGTCTATAGTCGCCGAGGGGTTTATGGTTCGTGTTCCAGGTATACCTTGTTGGAGGCTCAGAGGATCCAAGAAGAGGTATGAATAGGTCCATGACCCGAGGATCCATGATCTATGTAATTAGGTGAGTGTTGGCGATGAGATGCTCTAGACATCTCTAGACTATATGGGTTCCATTGTCACTGTCTCGTGGTTCTTATCTACGTGAAGGTTCCTTTGTGGAGGAAGGGGTTCCCTTGCAGGACAGCTACGACGTGGAAGCGGCCTTCTATCAGAAGGCCAGTGGAGTCAGTAGTCGCATTTTGAGGATTCAACAGGGGAAGACTGCATTGCGGTGCTGAATTTGAATTACTCACGTGAGCCTCGCATCGCTGTAGCGCGTGGAGTCATGTGCCCCGGTCATTGTGTTGAACTCCCCTTGCCCATGAAACAGCTGAAACGCGCCTGACGACCAAAATGGGATGGCCAGTGGATCCCAGGCGTGACTTGTTCCAGATTTGTGACTTGTTCCAGATTTGCCACCTCTCAGTAGGCCTACCCTTCCCTGGCGAGACTCGACCCCGGTTGTGTGAGAATAAGATCGTCTCTCATGCGTGCTTCCGATGAAATACTGAACCCTCCGATGAAAGCATCTCATCTCATGGAAGTGGATTTCCCCCCTGTTTCGCGGGCCGGAGTGCATCCCATGGGCTTGTCCATGCTGTCTTCGTCAGGGCCATGCGGAACGCTTGATCGATGCCGGGTGCCTGGTGCCATTTCCACTGCATGTGGAGCACTCCAGGGGCGAGGGCGTGACGATTTGCATGACTGAGTTGGAAGGTGGGGCGGCGATGCAGGTCATGTTGTGTATTCCTGTTGATTCCTGTTTCCTTTCTTTGGCCAGGCTGCCAAGGAAGAACATTTGATTTCAAGACAGACATGTGGCTGTTGGCGTTTGGGGAGCTGAGTCAGATTTTTCCAAACAGTAAGCGAGAACATATTGCCTGAGAACGAGAGGCTAGGACTTGGATGGAACGCTTCCAGATCTTGAGGCATTTTCAGCAGGTTGCATGGCTGGTGTCACGGCTGGTCGTTTTGTCCAGGCAGATCAAGCCACCCACAAGGCTATGAGGCCTTCGTCCGATGGCTTGCTCGACTCCACGCGAGCTTGGCCTGCAGAATGCAGTGGGCCAGAGGGGCGGGTTGGCTGGTTGATGAATTAATTGGCGGGAGACTTGTTGGGATCAGGAGACTTAGGAGATGAGATTTGGATAGTTGGATGGTTCTATAGTTCCCGAGATCAAGCTCCACCTGCAATGATGCTGTGAACATTTCAGGGAGGGAAGAGGTCAGTTGAGAAACAAACGCAGATGAACGATTCATGCTGGCCGTGGCAAGTGTGGTTGGGCCCGTGTACCTCCCTGGTTTGGAGCTGAAGGAAAGCGAGAAGTTGCTGCAAAGCCAAGGACCTACTGGGGGCCTCGTGCGGACGCCGCATGCAGCTTCTCGGCCAGAATCAGAAAAGGGTGGATTTCATAGAACCAAACTTTTCCAGGTTCAGTTGCATGGTGCCCCTATGCCTTCTGTAGTCTGCTGTACTTGAATCAGCGAAAGGTGCGACGACAAAGGCTTTTGGAGTTGCTCCACCGGCTTGGCTCCAAAGCTCTAGCACCCGATCGAATGATAATCCCATGCACTTCTGAACCCATGAGTCATGCTTGTCCCAAGAGAAAGACTGAGAAAGGCGGTGAGAAAAAGGTTTACAGTATTTTGAGTCAAGTGGGTCTCACCTGAAACCTCCAGGCAGACCCCGCCTTCCACTGTAAACCGGTCCGGTGGGTCTGACTGGAGGTCTTGAGTCAAGTGTGACCACTCCAGGCAGATTGTGGGTCCACATCACCTGAAGTGGCCACTGTAGACTTCTTCCCTCGAAGCGAAGCCAGCCCCTCTTCAGGTTCGACAGGTGGCTTACAACCACAGGGGACGCTTGGCAGTGTCACCGGAGGGCATGGACCGTTTTTAGCTTTTTCCGTCTCAGTGAGTTTGGTGGCTGAGAGCTATAGTGAATAGTGATGTTGAAGAGAGAGTGGTGTTCTCATTTTGTTGTTTATTTGTGTGCGTGCACGCATAATTGACTTGAGTTGTTGTGGAGCGTTACCGGTGATACTCGCTGACCAATTAAATGACATACATCAGCGACTCGTATACGTGAGGCTGATGCATTGAGGGGAGCTCGATATATCTCAAGGACCTGATCCAGTCAATGGACAATCCCGATTTCTGGCAATTGTGAGTGTGGCCAGAAACCCTCTCTAAGGTGCTACTGGCATTTGGACACGAGGCCAGATGAGCACCGGCGGATGAGCGGTTCTGGTTGGATGGGGCGATTGAAGTTGGCAGCGCGTGCCATTGATTTGCCATTGAAAGCTGCAGCTTGGTTCAAGCAGGGAGGGCAAATTGTGGCCGGTGTGATTGGTGGATGCGTTAGGAGGGTGACCAACACGATGAGCAGATTCTCCATTTGCAGAACCAAGCAAATTACCCCAAGCTGGTGGTCTATACATGGCAACTCACAAGACGGTTTGGTTTGGAAGATGATTTGCATTTTCCCGGGTTGCTATTTTTCAGTTTTAGGGAGGGTACTTTTGATGCACGAAGCCCCAGTATGCCCCAGATACTTTTGTTAGTTCCATAGTCCTTGGGAAGCATCATCACAAAACTGATAGAAATATGAATCATGAACTACCTCCCTCTAAAAGTATAGAATCGTGGTTGGCTAGTCTCGAAAACCCTGAGAAACGCGTACACGCGATCCGATCGATGTTGTTTTGGGTGCATCTGAGGACCCACTTCAGTCAGCATCTTGGCGGCCAAGTCTCAGTCTTGGCGGCTCCTCCAGGTCGGTTTCCTCACCGGATTCACCTAGGTCTTGCTGTCCAGTCGACTCACCTAACGCCGCTTCGGGGCGATCCCCAGGCTCCCGCGGATGTACGGTGAGCCACAGTCGGGGACCGTCCCAACGTGACACAGGCATAGCAGGAGTGGAGGACCCCAAAAGGGATTCTTTTGTAATGTTGGTGATAGAAAAGGGTGACAGTGAAGAGGTCCACAATCCATCCCTTCAACCAGGTCACCTTCCCTTTCATGTTGCCTTCCACCAGCCCCATTCCATAGCCGGCCGTTCCTACGACAACTTCAGGTCTGCCATGGAGATGCCAAGGGGGCGAACATCCTGTATACCAACGGGGATGGAGGCATGGGCGTCATGCTTGTTGAGCTTTAGGCCGAGGTGCGACCAGATTGGACCAGCTTGAGTCTGCCAGGGTCTAGTAAGACCCATGGACTCATGGACCCTTGCGATCGATCTCCCAAAAGTCCGCACTTTCTCATTAGACGGACCCCATCATGGGGGTTGAGGAAAACATCTTCGGTGCAACTGGGAGGGCAAAGGATTTATACTTTGGTGTTGAAGTGATTTTTTGGCAAAACCACAACAGGTTAAACCCTTAGCAAAGGACCTCTGAACAGCCAAGATTAGGATAGGCCCTAGGCACAGGTGGGAAACTCAGGTGCTGTGGCGTGCCTGCAGGTGCCGTGCCTTTGGTCTATGATTTTCAGTATTGTGGAAAGGCAGCCGTCCGGAGCTTATTGACCATGCTCTTGGGACCGGAAGGATCATCCGTTCGATCAGCCCATCGGTGCGACGTTTTTTT